TGTAGATTTTATGTAGAGGGGAGGGGAGTAGCCCTTATAGTAAATAGATATTATATAATAAATATCAGTGCCCTTATAATAATTTAAAATTTTTATTATAAAAATTTTATTATAAAAATTATATTGTGTAAGATATTATAATGATAAAATTTAAAATTTAATTATAAAAGATTTTTATTGTACAAAAGACTAATATTCAGTTAAAATTATTTTGTAAGCTTTGTTATTTAATTTTATATGCTATAGCATAAATTTTTTTTTTTTTAAATTTAGCATCTTGCCAATATTTATTAAGTATAAACTTATAGGTAAAAATGCAATTTTGACTAAAGTTATCTAAAGCCCTTCTAATTTACAAATATTAACTAACTCAGCTCTTTGTGACACTGAAGTGTCCAAATAATTCATGTTTGATCTGCTATAGTAAAGTTTATCTCAATATCAAAAAACTTTGCAAATAAATTCCTCCATACATCACTAAATAGTATTTATAGCCTATTAAAATCGCCTCCTTATCTAACCTTCTTCTTTTAGCTTTCCAAGCAGAAAGATTTAAAGTCTCAAACTGACTTATGAAAAACTAATACTAACAAAAAGAGATAAAAGGAATAAAACAAAAAAGGAAAGAAAAAATGCCTAAGCAACAAGAAAATAAATAAAAAAAAACAAATGAAAGAAAAAGAAAAAGACAAGAAAAAAGTAAATCTATAAAAACACTATTATAGCCTATGCTAGGTATAGTTGTAAAAATTATATACCTAATTAAATTTAAACAAACCTAATTTTTAAATTTAAAAATCTTGTATATCTCTATTGTAAAGCTATACCTTATTGTTAAAATTTTCTTCAGACTTTGATATCTGATCTGTGTTATTTTATTAACCAGAGCACTGATTAGTTCATCACGTGCCGTAGGTCATTGTTGCCCAAGCAACCCCATGTTTATAACCTACTTCATTTGTCTGAATATATAAAGAGTATTCTGTTCAAATTTAAAAAATAAACAATGCTGATCTTTTGGAAGAGTAAGCCAAATTTCCACTTTTTGATAAAAAATTTGGAAAAAAGGCAGAAAAGCAGAAAAAAAGATAGTAGAAAACACTTGGCCAAAAAAAAAGAAATATAGCTTAAAGAAAGCCTGTTCTTTACTGTTTCTCAGTTGTTTCTCAACTGTTAGCTTCATCGACAGAAGGCTTGAACTATTTTTACCTTCATCTATCTACCAAAATTTCATATACAAGGACACCACCTTCTGCCAGTTATTTTATATACTAATGCTTTTGGCTTGTATGCTAAATATATAAAGGAGTCCTCAAAGAAAAAGAGAATATTGACCTTTATAAAAACTACTCTATTGATTCACCTCACTACAGGTTATTACTATGCTCCAATATAAAAAATAGATTTTCTTTTTGTTGGAAATTTTGGTCCAAGTGATCGTTAGAAAGAGTTGAGAGCCAGTAATTCACTATAGTATGAATTATCAATAGAAATATTCTTGTTTTGTTTATTTCAGGTTTTAAAATTTTTTTTGCTTATTTCAAGATTTTTTATATTATCAACTATCTTTTAAATCAGTTTGATGCTTGATTCAATATTTTCAACTATTCTCTTTGCTATAAAAGATTATAAAACTTTTCAAGATTAAGTATTTATATTAAAATAATATTGATAATACATTTATTATGTTATATATATATAATTAATGAATTAGATTTATCTGTACTAGAACTAGTACAATGTACTAGTTCTAGTATAGTATTAAATTAAAATTATCTATTAATTTTTAAAGTTAATTACCTTATTAAATATTATTTTAAATTTAAATGATTATATAAAAAAAGTTTAATTTTTTTTTTTTTTTTTTTTTCCTTTGATAACTGCATACTAAAATTTTATTAAATATTTACTACTTAATACAAAACTAAGCTATTTAATAATCTAATTAGACTAAAACTCGGCTGTCTTTTAAGATGCCCAAGTTTGGTTACCGCACTGATGTTGATCACCATATCCTATATACAGTACGACGCATTTAAAGATATGATCTAGCCTGGGCTTAGCTCCTATCAAATATTTACAATCTTTTAGTCTACCAACTTGGTGGGTTAGAACTTAAAATTCTTTGTCTTACCACCACCTCCGACAAATATTTTACCTCCGACTCTATCAACTGATCCACCCCTACAACTTTTACTCGCTTATTTGTTCTAGATTGGTCCTCAATGCCGCTACTCTGACTAGGTACGATATTCTCCTTTCCACGAGATCTTTTTCTTTCTTCATTTTTCTTTGGTCGTTTTTCTTCAGCTCCAATATTATTTTCTTCTCCCATGTGACAAATTTTCTATATCTATCACTTCATACCAATCTATGAAAGCACTCTTGTATGCCAAAACTAGCTGCTTTTAGGGTTTCTAGTGCTATGGCTTCATTTTCTAGAATATTATTTAACCAAAAAAGTGTGCTACGTCTAAAAAGACCTTTTGATAGAAGACTCTGTGCCTTGACTCTCTTGACTAAAGTTGAATCGAGAACAGCTCTCTACAGGTTTTGTACTGTTAAAGCTACCCTATAAACTTTGTCCATCGATGCCCAAGCTAGACTAATACTGAACTTTTCTATTTCCCACCATGTCTCAGCAAGTGACTGACACTGCATCAGGTGATCTGCATTTTCTCTTTATTATCTTCACAAAGGACACAGATGGGATCCAGGTAAACTGAGAGTTTTCTTTTATATAAGACACTTTTCGTTGGGAGTGTTCGTAACAGATTTTTAACATATCTGACTAATCTAAGACTCTTTTTGGTTGAGTGATAGTTTATTATTTACAGTATTAGTTATATTTATTTAGTATTAGTTATTATCTTTATTATTGTATTAGTTATAGAAATATTATTGGCTAGTTATATATGGTATAGTAATGCTGCACAAGTGCCTTCAAGTGCCTTTGCATGAGTGCCTCCAAGTGCCTCTATACAAGTGCCTCTAAGTGCCTTTATACAAGTGGCTCTAAGTGTCTCTATACAAGTGTTTTTGAGTGCCTCTTATACAGTTTAGCTGTTATACCTTTTATATGTAAAAAAGTTATAAAAAGAAAGCCTTTTCTTCTTCTACTTAAGTTAGAGAGTTCTCTACTTTCTCATAGTATCTAGCCCTATCTTTCTACACTTCTTGTCCTTGTATAAAGTAATATACTCCTTCTAGGGTAAACCTAGTAAGTGAGGTTATCCTCCTTGACTTATAATAAATAAAGTATTAACTTATATACAGTTTCTATGTCAGACCATTGCCTCTTGCTAGTGGAAGTTAGAGCATACTCCACTTCTACTCTATATACACCTCAATAGTAGGATCCCTGCACCAGATGACCTTGTTACCTTGCTACATAGTAACCAAGAAAGCTGTAGCATTGTAATATTATTTTTGCTAATAATATATGAAATTAGACTAGCATTAAGGTTAGGGTTAGAGCTAAAAAAAGATACAATATATAGTAAAATTTAGCAAGAAATTTTTTTAATTAAAGTATAAAAGGCAATTTCATAAGCAAAATTTTGTACTATTGGTGATTTTTTGAAAAAGTCTTCAATTTTATGTTACAAAAGGTTATACCTAATTATGTGATCTATATAGAAATTTTTCTTTTTTGGGTTTGTATCACTTGCAGAAATAAGTATATACATTGTCATCCTCCAAGCAGCAGGTCTAAAGTTTGAATCCCAGGAATGATGATATTGAATAATTGACCTTGTATTCAGTATAATTGTCTGCCAATCAGTTGTTAGATATACTATTTAGAATAGGAGCTTTGGTGCATAAATCTAGATAATCAGGATGATCAATATCTATTTGAAAAATCTAAATAAAGAGGTAGCTAAAACTTTTAACAATGCTACAAAAAAAACTAAATTTAGAAGTTAAAACCAAGAATAATAAACCAAGTAACAAAAGATCCCTAAGTAGAGGGATCTATCAACCAAACTACTGATTTGAGAAACCAAAAATTAACAGAAGTATATAATACATACTAACTGGGTTGCCGACTTGAGAAACTAGTAGCAAGAGAGCCCTACTCCTAGTAAACCTGTAGATTAAAAGTTCTAGGCCAACAGGTACAAGCTAAAAAAGATATGCCAGGTGCTCTAGAGGACTGAAATTTCAAATTGAAAAAAAAAATATATGCTATAAAATTATATACCAAGGTAAGATGAGCCAAAAACATCTAGAGCTAGGTTAGAGTCAAACCTCTAAGTTGTTGGTTGGAAGTAAGAAATGAACTAGTTAGGGAATTACAGAAAAAAAAAGTCTAAATATGGGTATTGAGGTAGAAAGTAAACTTTATAAAAGCATAGTAGTTACTAAATTATACTGTGAGTAGAGGCTGCGAAAGATCAGGCTGGCCAAAATAAAGCATGAAAGGCTCTAATAGGTTTACCTTGAGGATACCTGTGCATCTGCTTATCAGAGGAATGCAAGTTAGTAATTAGTCAGTGCAAACTTACAATAAGGTGCAGTCATCCTAAGGCAAGACTGCAAATTCTAATGCAGCTAGCAGATATTAGTACACAGGTTACTAAAAGCATAAAACAAATATGATTATGATCAGAAGGTTTAAATGGGTAGTTCTAGTTTGGGTTGCAGGTATAGGCATCTAGTGTAAATGGTGTCAAAAGCACAGTGGCTAGTTGTATATTCATTGTAATCATTGTAGTACTCTCCATTAATAAAAAGTTGCCAGGCCAAAAAGATCATCTTAATATGAGAAAAAAAAAAAAAAAAACTTATTTAAAAGATATTTTTTGTTTCTAGCCAAACTATTTTTAGTATTTACTATTTTAGCTTTTTATAATACAAATATTATTTAACTTACATTATATTAATTTATTCTGATTTTAAAATATTATTTTAAGGTTTAATTGTAAAACTATCAATTTACAAATCTAAAATAATATTATATATATAATAATTATATATGTAATTTAAAAAGTAATATTTTAACCACCGCCAATTCTAATTGGATGTGCTTCAGTATTAAACACCCACTCATCTAAAGAAATTAAACTAGTATTACTAAATATTAGATAAAGATATTTTAACGTTTCTGCAAAGAAGAAACTTTGTTGTGAATTATTCCAATCATTAATTAGGCTAGTAACATTATTTAGACCAGAAAACCCAGTAGAGGTTTTACAAAATTTGTTAATAGATTTGAAAATGTTCCATGCCCAATCCTTTAGTAAGAAAAAAAACAAACACTGTTACTATTTAGAATATTGGTGTCATATACATTAAACATAAATTGTTACCTGATATTTAGGATCGCGAGTGACTCGATATGCGTAAAAGATACTCTCAACGACTTCTACAAAATAATATTTAGAATTAAATTGCATGAAAAAGATCAGAACATACTCAAAATATAGCTACCTGGTCTTAATATGTATGAAGAATCTGTAACAAAAAAACCATGTTTTTTGTACATTACTTTCTGTATTTTATTAATTTTACTACTGGTAACGCCACTCGGTGAAATCCAACCAAATCCTTCAGGGCTAATCATAGTATTAGTTCCAATGTAGGTATTATAGCATGTAGCAGTTACGTTAAGCCCGAGATTAGTCAGGGATGTATTGTTGAGGAATTTTCCAGCTAGAAGGAAATTTCCTCCAGCAAAACATGCCTACAAATAAAAATTATTTATACCGTAGTAAATTTAGATAAGGGTATCAAATCGAATAGAATATTACCAAATGACCCATTTCGAAGAATGGTTTTCCATTTTTCCATTGAGCCAAATAAGTGAGGTTAGGAAATCCTTTTGCGGTATAAACCAACTTTTCCATAGTTGTCTTTACTGCTGACATCCACATATCAATATATTGTGAAGTTTTGCCTTGAATCATTATATGTTGTTTCAATAGGTACTATTAATTTTTCATGTCCAAAAGTTAATAAATTAATTTATATATTTATTATAATTGAAAACAATATAGAATAATTTTTGGTTTACCTCATAGAAACTGTCACCTAATCCTCCCCAAGTCACCCAAGCTATAATTCAAATGTTATCACATGATACAGTACATTTAATATAAAAAACGAATTTTATGACGGTAATACCAAATGAAAACTTAGGATTTACGAATCAGGCTGATACACTGTTTATTAACTAAAATTGTAAACTTCAGTTTTTCATTTGGCATAGCTCGTGAAAATATAAAGTCAATTAGTTTATACTTGTTGTGAAATTTCCAGTATATGGATCGATAAAAACAGGATAAAGACCAGGTAGCTCAGTACTTTTTCTTTGAAGAACGTCAATTACTTTTTGAGCCTACGGAATGAACGATAAGTTATATTCTAAACATAATAATGATAAGAATATACAAACAACCTTTTTTAAATATTTTGAATTTCTGCTCAACTCGCTTAATCTCCTGAATTCAAGCTGTAATGTTCCAATATCTGCGAGAACTGAATTGCGACCATATCCACCGTGCACTCCTTTTTTTTTCACCAAATCCACCATTCCCATTGGTATTCCTGTGGGTGTATCAAACGCAGGTAACAAAACATTACCCAACTTTATAGATTTGTTTAGGAAGAGGTCGTCTTTTGTCAATTCATATGCAGAAAGCAATCCTCCTATTATATGGATGAAAATACAAATTATTGATAATGTGAAACAAAGAAATGCAAAAAAAAAAATAAGATACCTAAGTATCGAATAACGGTTTCGAAAACGTTGATTTTCGTCGAGCCATTATTTACAGTAAATTCCAAATTCTTTATAAACTCTCTTGAATCATTATATTCAATTCCCATGATGATCATTGTATCCAGAGAATCGACAATGGTTACACCCCATCCATTATAGTTATCACTTGTAGTATTTGTAACCGGTTGAACCTCATCGTGTCCCCAAGCGTATTTTTTATATCCTTTAAATGCATATAGGAATGCATTTTTGATTTCATTTGCGCGAAACTGATTGCTAGATTCGAGTGAAGCATGTTGAAGCGATGGAGGTTGGGTATATACTATACTCGCAGTACTTAAAATTAAAGTAATGACAAGAAAAGATTGCATCATCCGAAATTATTGTTCACAAGAAAAAAAAAAACACGAACTATACAGTATATAAAATAATATGGTACGTACTGTATTACGTATAATCTTTTTCATCGAATTTAATAGCCTGTACGTAGCATTAAATAAGCTTATTCCTAACTATATATTTATTACGTATAAGGATACGTTGCTTAATAAATCATCATTAATACGTGAGTTACATTCGGATTTAGAATTGTTAAATAGTAATCTGATTCTATACTTAGAAACAGAGCTGTTTCTGGTCAGTTAATTGTCTAAAAAAAGACTTTAAAGGTTTTATTTTAGACCAGACTTGTTTGTCCGACGGTGGGAATTGATATTTAACCAACGATATATAATACAGTACAAAATCTTTAATTCATTAATCTGCACCGTTTTCAAGCACTTGGTACGATAAATTGGAGAAAAAGTTTTATTAATCAGACTCCTATAGATTATAATTTGAAACAACTTGAATGGATGGTCCTATTAAAATTTAGAATTATATAAATTAACTACTCCGTCAATCATAGGGATGGAAAATGTTTTAAAACGGAATGTTTTAAAACATGTTTGTTTGATTTAAAACTGTTTTTTAATGATTTAGTAATTCTGACGTAACAATGGGATAGTATTTATTTAATTGATTTAATACATTCTGACGTAATCATAAACGTAACAATGGGATAGTATTTATTTATTTAATTAAGCTTGAACTTTACAAAAGTTACGGAAACTGACAAATTTGGTCGAACTACGCCTCGCCAAAAGTGTAACTACTGTGGAGAGGACTTTGTAGATTTAGTCGCT